GAAAGGAAAAATCCAAAGTTCCAAATCTATCAATTTTAATTTACAAACGCTTTATGATACTTGATTTTTTAAGTGCTCGTGTAGGGTAGCTCATGTGCTTCATTTTCCATGGATAATCAACCCCAGGGATAAAAAAGTTCAGGCGAGCGTGAGGACATATAGAAATATAAAAGAAGAAGAGGAAAGTATAATAATAATAATAAGAACATTGCTCGTTTCGTTTGAGTCTGCCTCCCAAAATTATTGGTTTCGCTTGACACATCCTGAAAAAGTGTGATCGCTTCGCTTGATGTTGCTATATCAACATCGCTTGATGTTGCTATCTCAACATAGCGTTTCGAGGTGATAATGAAGTTCGGCCTCAGCGCTCGCCGCCCAATTTGAATTTTGTATAGGGCGACGATAATCAACTCTAAACACTGAAGGGGGGGGGGTCCCTTTATTATCATCGGCATGCGGTTAAGGAACTCGACCAGAAACCCGGGAACCCGGGAACCAAAAACCCATCGAAATCGGCCCGTAACCAATAACAAAGACCCCGGGAACCTGGAACCGGGAACCCAGGAACCCAGCCGGCTACCAGAATCGGCGGGAAACTTTCAATCTTTCAATTTTCGCTGAGACCCCTTCAGTGCAAGCACTGGGGAAAGACGTATCGTCTTCGGAATCGCACTAGGGCGACACCTGAGCGATAAACAAGAGCCGAGCATGCGTTGGCGCTCACCGTGGGGCGATTTGAGGCCCTCTCACGGCCATTTTGAGGCCCGCCTCTGTCGTCTCGGCGGGCCCCTTGGGGACCTATCGAAGCCCTCCCGTGGCCTCGAGGGGGGCCAGGAAGCTCGGGCATCTTCTGACCCGGGTCAATCCATACCCGTGTCAGTCAGGCCTTGCATAATCCTGCAAGATCCTGCAGATTCTGCACTCAAGCCTGGGCTCACGCTTTCGTCAGAAAGATTAAAGAGGATTAAGCCCCATTTGGGGGCTATTACGCCGGAGTGGGCCTCGGATTAAGCGGGACTAAGCCGGATTAAGCGGGATTAAGCGGGATTGAGCCAGATTGAGCGGGATTAAGCCGGATTAAGCCGAGTTAAGCCTTGTTCCGGACCAAGGCGAAAACAGAATCTGACCTCCCAAGAGTTGCACCCGAACCAAGGGACGCAGTCCCGGTGTGCGCCCCCAAGGATCCAATCTTAAGTCGGGCCTGTCCTTCTACAGGGGGACTTTGGACGAACAAATAGAAGATACTCAAACAATGCCACAAAGTAGTAAAAAAACAAAATGCTATAAAAATCGCCCCTGGACTAGTTCTATTATTTTTGAATGCTCCCCCTGTAGAGGGGCAGGCCCGACTTAGACCGAATCCCGGGGCGCACTGCCTGGTGACAAACGGTCGTGATGGCGAGGCGGGCGGCGACGATAGCGATGGATCCGGATGCTCTGGAGATCAGGAGGCGCCGCCCCTGATCTAGGTCAGTGGCTGAGGTACGGGGTCCCCGAGGGCGCTCTCGGGGCCCTCCCGGGGCCCTCCAAAGCCACCTCGGGGGGCCGCACGAGGCTCCGCCACGGGGCCCGAGACGAGACAACATCCAGTCACGCGAGACCCTAGATGCACGACTGGGTTCTGACCCCTCTTGGGCCCCTCCTGGACCACCTTGAAGAGCCCTCTCGGGGCCCGTCAGTGTCTTCCCAGAGAACCTCTTGGGGCCACGTTGAAGCCCTTGCGAGGCCTCGAGGACGCCTTTCCGCATGGATCCCCAGAGGCGAAGCATTGTTTGGGGGGTCCCGGGAGCCCGGGAGCCTCGCCGCTCACTGCCATCAGCCTAGCACTAGGTTGGGCATGTCCAACTACAGGCGGATCTTGTGAGGAAAATGAAGAATGATACAAAAAAGACTGCTCAGAGAAAAAACAATTCTGAAAACACGCACCAACAGATATTCCCAAGAGGACGCAAGCAAAGAGAAACCAGTATACCAGAAAATGGCCCCCAGAGCACGCTTGGACTACCTTTGAGTGGCCCTCCCGTAGGCGGACGTGCCCCACTGAAGCCTGGCACTTTCGCCACATCTCTCCAAAATTCGGGCCGCGCGAACGGGGGGGATAGCAAAGGGGGGGGTTTGAGAACCGGCCCGCGCAGCCGACTCTCCCGGCGCCTCCC